ACAGAGTAGTACAACGAATAGCTGAGGTCATAATGGTTTTGCTGCTGAAATAACTGGTCAATTTTCTTCACACTTAGATCACAGGGTAAGTACTTTCTACCTGGTGCCCCTCTACGTCCATAGTGACTTGCCCGGCATGTAATTGTCTGGATATGATCCACGATTCGGTCCTTCTTCACCTTATACTCTCTGCAAGTTTACGAGCACCGCCCCTATTTTCCGGCCGTAGCGTGGCATGTTCAGCATAATACCTGGCTACTCGAGATACACGGTCTTTGCTTACACCTGAATCGATAAAAGCAAACTAAAGCTAAGACGAGATATTTTACAATCGACAACACATATAGGCCTAATTTAAGTTTAGGCCTACCGTGACATTAAAACATGCGCGATATGAAATAAGCAAGCTTAGGGTACGATCAAAGTGTTAGGCGTCCGTTACGGGCTATCATAATATACCGCCGCGCTGCGCGACTAGTCTCGGCCGATCGTTCGCGCCGCGATCGAGCTGATCGACATCGTAAGCCTACCTAACAAAACAAATCAATGATAGGGTTAGGGTTAGGGTTAGGGTTAGGGTTATCTAACATGAATTAAGACGACACCGAATAAGACGACATCTGGAGAAAACTAGTCACTTTTACTATTTTATGTGAAGGTTATGCAGTCCATTTCATTCAATATGAAAATGAAGGCTGGTAAATATTATAATGAACGTCTCTTCTGACACTGTGCACACTGTGTTAAGTTCTTACTAATCTAACTCAATATCAAGTCCTGGCATATCAGATCAGCTCCAAGTTCGAATTTCGACATTTCATAGTCCTCCGCATTTTCATAAGATCCTTCATGGCTCCAATATGCAACCTTGTAATTGTACACACTTCCTTTCATTTTCTTCAATTTTTCAATCCTGCCTGAATAAACTGTCTTCTCTCTACTGTCAGCATCATACCAAACATGGCAGATATTTCGGCCAATGACATCACCAGCAAGGATGCCCACAAGATCCGTGAGAGTACTTTGCTCCAAATCTGGGAATATAGTAGCAATATTCCCCACATCAGCAGTTTTCAATTTAACTTCTATCTCCTTCCTTTCTTTTTCTGCTTTTTTCAGCACCTTCACAGCAGCCAGTCTTGATAATTCCTGCCGAATGTCATGTTGCTTCTTGCGGTTTGCTTTTCGTTTCTTTCTGGCCATGCCGACAGCCCAGTTTACCACACAATCCCTCTTCTCTTTGCACTTTGCTCGTTCCTCACATCTCTCTATCTCGTTTACGCTGCCTCTCTCCTTCCCCGCCGTTAATAGAATTAGCATCCCAAAATACGTTCCAGTTTTTATTGCTTTATCTTTCAACCTACTTCCCTTTGTATCCTTCACTCTCGTTGACAAGCATTAAAATAGCAAATAACAATGCAAGGCTATATATACGTTGTTTTATTAGATCGGTGTTCAAACACATGGTTATTCACAGATGGTATTAGCCACATTTTAGAGTAAATTTAGAGATTTGTCCAATGCTCTCACATTGGGTAACTTAAGACCTCATTAAAACACAATCATGTTTCTACTTTAGTTTCCACTCGGGGAGAAGTTGTAACAGTTTAGTTGCATGATTTGCCTTTGTTGGTAATTCACACTGCTCCACTTCACATGTGTGCAGTGTGCTCGCTTGTTCACAGAGCCAAGCTGATCATACATATGAGTCTGACAGTTCGAGATGTACTATCTGCTTACATCTATACCACATCTCCGTAGAGTAGGAGAGATTCACGATTGTATGAAGGCAGCATCACACAGTTTCTCTCCCGTGTGAGTGTAAAGTGGAATATCGTATCGTAGACAGTAGAACGTAACAGTTGTATAAACGGTGGTAACTTATAGATTTATTGTAAACCCGGATAAAACAATACACATATCAGTCAGCTGGCCGTGGACGTCTCTCCCGTTCTACCCAAAACCCTGTCCTTTTATCTGCCTCTCTCGTCATCCCCCTGTGTCTGCGTTTATTGACAAGGGTTGTTGCACCCTTGACCGGTCGCCAGCACCGTCATTAAGGTACCCCTTAATGACGGCTGGTCGACAAACTAAGCTCTGTTCTTGGGTACAGTCGAGGCCGTTGCACCCCTCGTCCGGTCGTGCGAATCGTCCGTACCTCCCTTAATGACCATATCGGCCATGCCGTCCGTCACGTTAATTTATATGCATCTCCTAAGTAGGCAGTTAAAGTCTGGTGGGCCATCCGCCGGTCGTCCCTGAACGATTGTATGTGCTTTCTCTCTCTAACGTTCTCACGGTACAACATTTCTCTACTACATGAGTTATCATGTGTTTCTTCATATTACTCGGGCTGGAGAAGGTCACAGAGGAGTTCTTTCTTAGAAGGCTCCGTTCTCAGTTTCCTGAGAGTACTATCCGAGTCACTTAATACTCGTCCGAATAAATCTTTATCTCGAGTTAGGACGCTGAATGTGTCTTGTGTGCAGGCTCTAATCTCCGAAAGAACATTCTTGACAACACTGATGCCCTGGATATGATCTAGCTAACTCTCTGCTGAAGTGTAAAAATATTGCATCCATGGGCCTGTCAACATTTTCCACAGGATTCCAAGGACTTGCATCTCTGCTACTGCTGTAGGGTCTTCAACGTCCTTCTGTATAGAAGACTGTAGGCCACCACATGACACTGTTCCTGTCTTGAAAAATCTCAAGAAGGTGTCATAGTATTCAATAAATTTTCCTCAAATATGAAAGAGCACATGCAGCCTATTGCCACGATACCGAGGTATTATCCCGCTTGGCACTCGTTCATCGTCCAGAAAAACCTTGAATCCTTTCGGATCTCCTTTAACGTCTTTATATCGAAATTTATTGACTTGCAGGAGGATGTTACCTGCAAGGCAATCGTTACCGAATAGCTTTCCCTTGCTGGTTTCCATTGCTTTGAGGGCAGAGCGACAAGAACTAGCGATGGTGTCCAGTGGATGCAGATTGCAGTTCAACTCATTTAATGTTTTCCCCCACGTTTCACCAAGCTTTCTAATTGTTGCACGATTTACCACGACTCGATCTGTCATCGAGTTAGATATATTCCCAATAATAGTTGAACGAGAGTGCTGATAGTCAGCCTGATGAAAATCTGAGTACACCATAGCAAGATGGTCAACAGAATCACAGACATGATTATGGTAATCGTCAGCTGTACCCCCATGTAGCTCGTCCACAGTCACGACCTCACACTCTTTCTTAGTAGTAAAATGCACAATGTTGACGGATTGCTCGGATCGTCGGGAAGGCCCCTCAGCTGGAGCGGCGACCTCAACCTCCTGAGGCACCCCCTCAAACACCATGGGAGCAACCACGGGTTTGCGCGAGGCCCGCCCCTTGGCCTTCACAGCATCATAGTCCTCAGTGGCCATCCTCCGGCACCTCTTCCACCGCTGTGCACCGATGACTTAGAATGTGCAGCTCATGATCCTCGGTCGGCAGCTCATCCTTCATTCTCGGGACTAGCTACCTCCCGACCTGGGCGTCCGGCATGTCCGGCATGGCTACCTTAGCCAACTTGCGTAGCTGTCGGCCCAGCTCTCACCTGCTGCTGCCGTCGGCTGAGGAGTGCTGCCTGGCTACGGGTCTCCCGCTGGTCAGGCCCGTACATCTCCAGTTTCTTCCGCAGCTGACTTCTTTGTTACGCACAGAAATGTCTGCATACGGACATTCCTCCACTCTGTGTATAATTCGGTTGAGTTTACGCCATTCACGGTCAAGCTCATCCCTAATAGCATCATGAGATCATATCAATGATCAATTGGGATTATTAGACACTCTGGTAATAGGACGTCCATTTAAAATGGCTTCAACTTCGCAGAATAGAGTCTGCAATGCTTCATCGTCTAGGCGTGACAGCTGTTGTTTCATTAAGGAATACAGAACCTTTCTGACAGAACGAATCAGTCTTTCCCAGACTCCTCCAAAGTGGCTTCCAGATGGGGGATTGAATTCCCATTTAACCCCATCTTTACCAAGCCTATCACAAATCCTGGTCTCATTCCATCGACTAAGCTCTTCACGCAGCTCTCGTTCTGCTCCCACCAGGTTGGTACCATTATCTGATCGTATGTACTCCACGGGTCCTCTACGAGCGATAAACCTTCTAATAGCATTAATGCATGAGGCTGTGTCAAGGGAGAAGGCTACTTCCAGGTGCACTGCACGTGTTGCTAGACATGTAAAAATGACTCCATATCGCTTGACGATGCTGCGTCCACGTTTTACCTCTATAGGACCAAAGTAGTCCATACCTATACGAGTAAACGGCGGATCATCCGCTGATAAACGTTCTTTGGGAAGGTCTGCCATCTTCTGTTCTGCTCGCTGAGCTCTATACTTTCGACAGGTGACACACCTAGACACAATTCTTTTAACCGAGTGCGGCTAGCATCGTATTTTTCCCGAGATGCCCAACTAATCTATGGACATCTTCCAATATCAGTTTGGACAATGGAGATTCTTTGGGTAGTAAAACTGGATGCTTTGCCTCGTATGGAATCTGAGCACGTTCTAGCCGTCCTCCAACTCGCATGATGCCGTCTACCATAATAGGGTCCAGCTTGTTCAGCGTGCTCGATCTCTTCAGGGATTTTCCCTTTGCCAACATTTTGATCTCATCGGGAAAATGTTGATGCTGTACATAGCGGATGAGTCCCTCCTCTGCCTCTTGCAGGGTGCCCAAGCTTGGGGAAACTGCTTTTACCTTATCTTTCAACTGAGAAGTTGCTATACGTTTCTCATTTCTTATCTCATTGTCTACCAGTTGTTCTCGTCTGGTGGGATTAGGCTCCACTGCCAGCATCTCCTTTCGCAGTTCAGCACGCCTAGAAACCCAATAGCGTAGCTTGTTAATGACGACTAGTATCCAACCAGTAACCCTCTTTAATCTTGTCCAGTTGGAGAAGTACATCAACAGTCTATCCATCCCCTGCACTGGCTTGTCCAACACAACAGTATTGACAGTTCTCCTTACTTCGGGATCGTCCTCTGGCACAATTCTGGATGCCTCAACCTGACGTGGCCATTCTGACTCTACCTTCCACAGAAATTCAGGGCCATCAAATCAGCGTTTCTTATCTAAGAACTTTTCCACACTTAAGCTTCTGGATGCATCATCTGCTGGATTTCATTGCGAGTCCACATATCTCCATCGTTGTACATCCGATCCCTCTCGAATCACGGCTATACGGTTAGCAACAAATGTATGTAAACGATTAGTCTCATTAGAAATATATCTGATTACAGACATACTATCGGTTCAGACGGTGCTGTTTATGCTGATGTAATTACTGTAAATATGTAAATTATGTTGAGCGATCTGTTCAATATATTGAAACCTTTTGATACAGATCAAATAGTTTTAGTGCTTTGTATTGTTATGTTTACAATGTGTTACCCTAAACAACAAATAAATTTGTTATGTTTGTTGGTTAAAAAATTGTTTGCCTACTTTTTATGCAAAAAACACATGCATTTATGGGGACAATACATGTGCGGAAATCACAAAGGAAAAAACATACAGAAATTATTGCATCTGCTAATTCTGACTGTATTATTTAAGGCGGATTTTGTACGTTTTCGCAAGTCCTATGATTCTCTCAACGTGGACACGCTTACTTGCAATTTTTCTGTCCTTTGTAACACTTTTGGCTGACATTCTGTTCTTTTTTTTAAAAAACTCAGGGATGTTGATCTCCACATTTGATGAAATGAACAGATCCTGTACATTAAAACCTTTGTCTGCCATGATAGAGTCACCAGGATCACAAATTTGAGACAAATTGCTCCTCTCACATATCTGTCTATCACTTGCAGATCCACCATATGCATCTGACACAAAACTTACTAAGCCCCCAGGTGTAACTCCTACAAGTACTTTGGCAGTATTCCTGTTTTTATAAGTTGAGTACGTGGCCTGTTGAGCTACTGGCTGGTGTGGTTTTTTCATTGGTATCTCAGTACCGTCAACAATTACTCGTGTTGTCGGAAATTTCTTTCTAAAATCGGATGGGGTAAAGAAGCTCACTAAATCACGGCTGGGCCACCAATGATGATATAGAAAGTTTATCCATGTGACAAACACATTTGTTACTTCCTTTATATTAATTTCAAAAAGCATAGACAGCTCAAAATTTGTTTGTGCCAGGCGTAGTTTCACAAGTGTTAAAAATAACTGATCTTCAGGGGCGAGAGAGGGTGACACACCATAATAATAGTTGAGTTCATTAACTGTCTCTCCTAGAGCCCTGAACAGCAAAATAAAATTGCCGTATGTTTCCAAACCAGTATAGTAATGAAGGCGTTGTGGATGAAATGCAAAATTTGATGCTGTCATTCCTCCGCTTGATTTTGTTTGTGTAGATGCATCTTGAGAAAATATTTCTATAGGACGTCCACCACCTGAAAGGTCTGCCTCTTCATCGTGACATTTGATTAAGACTTTCTTTAAGTCGAATATCTTCAAAGTTCGATCTTCTTCTGGCCCGCGATTTCCGTTTCAGTGCCGAGTCAGTCATTGTTTTCCAAGCAAAAATGTGTGGGACAGCACTTGGTTTGAGGATTTTATTAATCATGGCACCCTCTGAAAAATAATTTCACATTTAATAACAATTGTACAATCATAAACAATATGCATTTTTTATTTGCACACGTAAAGTCCTCTTTAATCTAGACGAGGGCCTGGATGCATATGTCTGCAGTATTTAAAATGATATGTGGTACATGGTACGTGACACATTTGGGTATGCTCTAGTTTGAGCCTTAAATTAAATTTAAGTGTCATTTAAATGTAATTGTGTCATTTAAATTTAAATGTCATTTATATCTACTTACGGTGTTATTGTCCTTGCGTTGTGTTATAACCTGTTCGCTATCGTGCTGGCGTAAACGTTGCCTGTTCGAAGGAATTATCAGCCGATGTTTCGATGTGTCCGGTGCGGCGCAAGACGAGTAAATTAAACACGAGATAGAGGAATGAAAACACTACTTATAATCTTTATTCACGTGCACACAATTCACGTCCTATTCATACAAGTTGTTAGGGAGATCACGTAAATATACTACTTGGTGTAGATAACTATGTGGCTACAACGGCGAGTATAAGTGTAAGAAGTAGAAGAGAGAAAAGTGAAGTTTTTTCTAAGGGAAGACTTATAAGAAGGGCTTCAAACAGGCGTAACTGGGCGTAACTACACTTGCCCAGTGGTCATTTATTCTTTGTGACAAGGAGAGTGCCTAATCGTTTTGGCGCTCTGATTTGAAGTACACGGGCAGTGGGGATTTATGAGACAGGAGAAGGCCGCACGGTGCGCTTTAGCTAAAGTTAGGATGAGGGGCTGACGTGAGGTGTGGGCCGACATGTTTCTTGGGAACGCGCCAAACGTTTTATTGGTCGCCTTCCCCGTCGCGGACATGCGCTGTAAGAGCCAGTCATGATGCTGCGTTCACTGGTCGTGCGCAGTGCTCTCTATCTATTTAAAAACTACTATGCTATTTAAATCTCACGCACTCCGTAAACTACCACGCTCTGTTACACCGCATCAGCACCATATATGCAGAATGACACTGGATATAACCAAAACAAAAAACCCTGCAAGAGCAGAATGAAAACACGAATTAAGACAAAGTCATCTTTTCTGGCAACACAAATATCTCATCTAATTACTTTACAGAAATAATACGGTTCACTCCAAGCCTCATATCATAGACTACAGAAATAATCACAACACTAATCTATCAAACATCTGATCATGAAGATAATAGAGTAAGCTTATTCAACAATTCCCTTCCATCAAAGTGGCAAAGAAAGCAACTTGATTGCCCAAACTAAATACTCTGTATACATGTACATCCTCTGCTACATCTTTATGCAGAGAAATTTTTAGTACAAATTCTGAACACCGCTCAATCTGTTACCATGGTTACAGTGCTAAAATCGTACCCGAGATCTCAGCCGTCCCTCGAAAACAGCAATCACAGGCCAACTCGCCTGGTAGCCTGGGATAAATATCCAGAAATGTGCCTGTAAAAAGTCCAGTAGGCATTTTTGAGGAAAAAGGGCCAAACAACTTTTTCTAGAGTGGTTTTTCATGCTGAATACGAATAATTTGTTTGGACATCTCTATTTTGCCTAATTAGGTCAGAAATCAAGGTCAAAGGTCAATAATTAGGTCATATACTAAATAAGACCATAAAATAAACCCTCCAAAAACCATCGTTGGGTACATGCCAATCATTCAGGCACCTGCTCATGAATTGTCAACA